TGTCCACCTGGGAAAGGCCTGGAACACCAGGCCCTGGAGAGTTCATGGGAAGAATTGGTCATTTTGGGCTTCTGTCACAGGCCCTTCCAGCAGCCTCTCTTCAGGAACCCCTGCCCACCTCGGGCCTCTTTTCTCGCCGCCAAGGCCTCCACCGTAGGCTGCACCCATCCCTCAAGGTTAGAATGAGTGAGCCCGTCTTGGCATCACTTTGTTCCCATCTCCCTGAATCATCTCTTCCACAGCCCAACAGAGTACCATTTAAGACCACATGTCACAGGCTTTTCAAAAAAATACAGCTTTTTATTGTCTCGGATGCAAATATAGTTTTAAAACTGCATTGTAGTGTTGAATACAGCTGGTGGAAACGTGCTTCTCAACAGCGGAGCATGAGGGGTGGTGTTCTGGATGGCACAGGCCTGAGGGAGCCTCTGATTAACAAGGCTCTTCTCCGGTTTTGTTTTTCAGACCACGAGAGGAAACTTCCTCCTAATGGAGCCCTGACACAATCACCAGAGCTCACAACAGAAAAAACGAGCCAGGTACACAATAAACTGAAACCTGGAAGAGAGCATGGTGGCTCAGCCGTGGTGTTACAAAGTGAGTAGGTGAATCCGGTTTCCTTTTGAGGGCTGTCCGAGAAGGTTTGGGTACAGAGAGAGCAGGGCGTTGTAGGGGACGGGCTGTGTTCAAGCTCCCTTGGGAGAGACACAGCCTGGAGTCATGTCTCCTGAGCCAGAGCCCTTCAGACCCTTCAACTGTAGGACGTAAACTCTATGGAAAAATGTGTCAGTGTCTCCTAACCTTCCAGAACCTCAAGCCTTGCGAGTAGCACACCTCTGTTCAGAAACCCAGAAAAGAATTCTTCAAATGAGCGATGCCCAGGGTTGACTATGGCACCAAAAGTCTGACTGGGAGAGGGAGGTGAATTTTGCTACATACTTGGGAAGGAATTTCACAAAAATAAAATTCCATTAAGTAAATGCACGCAGGCAGGCTTGTGCAAGCACATGCACACGCACATGCGCGCGCGTGCGCGCGCACACACACACACACACACACACACACACACACAGTCAAAGCCAACATTCAACATGAAAAGTTCCCTTTTCTTTTCTCAAAGGCTGATTTTCGCAAAAACCCCGACAAGGAAACAGAGCCCCCGTGTGATGAGCCAGGAAAGCCAAATCCTCGGAAGGAAAAGAAAATGGAGCAGCTGTGGATGTGCACGGTAGGTCCTAAGGCCTCTCCTTGATCCCGCAGCCTCTCCGATCAGACGGGTTCAAGGCCAAGGAGACTACTACTGAACGGTACAAACGTGTTGAGCGTCCAAGCTCTTCCACCCTCTAGCCCTACCCTCCTCTCCCTTTGTCCGTGTTCAGACGTGGTGAAGATTCTCTTGAACGTACGAGGCACAGACCACGGCCCACGGCTGCCATGGTGCCCACATCAGGGCACCCAACTCCCTCGACGAGACCACGACTGCAGGAACACTTGGCACAGCTAAATCCCGGCGAGCGGCGGGCGGGTGTCACCACTGGCAAAGTGCGTAATGGGAAGCAGGGTATCTTTAAGGAAAGGTAACTTCCCACCAGACAGAAAAGGGCGCGAGGGCCAGCTTGCACCCGGCTGCGGGGCCGTGAGCAGCGGGGTAGAGACCGTTGAGGACAGCCCAGCCCCATGCAGATGCATGCTTCAGCTACACTGTTGACAGCCTGTGAGCCTGGAAACCACAAACCCACTTCTCGTTCTTCTAGTTCTCGGGTCACTCACCACTGCACCCCCTCACCTGGGGTGAGACAAAGGGGGCCGGCACCACCGCGGGGTGCCACGCTCCCTCACAGTCTAGGTTTATCTATTGGCCAGAGCAGAAAAACCTTCAGGCCCAACCTCTAGCAAGGGGAAGGGGTCAGGTCACAAGGACAGGAAGCTGAGGAAGCTGGGTGCCCAAGGACACATGGGCGACCTCTTCTTGCAGAGGCTCCAGGAACAGGGCGGCGTTGGGGGTTCCTTCCTCCTGACAAGAGCCCGTGATGCCTGTTAGCATCTCATCAACGCTAACGTCTGATGCTGGGACCACTGCTCTAGTGTGAGAAAAACGGCTGGATGGCAGCCAGGGTGCACGGGCTGAAGCATCCTGGGTGGGTGAAGGGTGACTGCTGGTGCAGAACCACCTGAGGCCAGAGACGGAGGGACAGCCCGCCAAGTCTCAGAAAGCCCCACGGCGGCACCTGCCCTGTCCCTGCATGTCCCATTCATTGTGACAGAGCACGCAGCAGTGTGAAGGGAACTGATGGCACAGAAAGATTTCACAGAAATGCTTTTCAGATTTATGTGCCAGATGGGCTTTTTTTCCCCCCCTTTTCAGATTGTTTTTCTAATTCTCCAAAGTGTCAGCATTTTAATGTTTCTTTTCTGGGAGTAGAGACAGGAGCAGGGGTGAAAATGAGCGTAAACAAAGCACAGCCCCATGGTCAGCATCCACTGGAGGCTGCTGGAAGAGTGGTCTCACTGTGCCTGCACACTGGCTGGGCCCCTCTGGCCATGTTCATTGAGCAAGATTCCAAAACAAGAAATGATTCTGGGACAAGAAACAATCGTGTCTGTGAGAAGAGATACAGCTTTGTGGCCCTACAGCCGTGGTAATTGTGAGCACCAAGATAAATGGATTTAAGTAATTATCTCGAAACAAAAACATGCATCTAGTTAACAGTCTGCTAGGACACACACACACACACACACACACACACACACACACACCTCAAAGTCTCACGTGACCAACAGCCTTAAATATTCAACAAAACAGAAACATGAACATCAATTCAGCAAAAGGGAGAGGAGGAGAGGTAGGCCAAAGAAGCAGGAGGCCAATTTTATATCCCACGGAGTTAAAGAAAAAAAAAAAAAAAAA